GGCGCTGGAAGGAGCAGTGCAAATTTCTGGCGAGGAGACTGGTCAAAAAGAAGGAGAAGGTGGGAGCAATGAACTCCGTGGTGATGGTGCGAAGACATTGGATGTTCGTCCGGTGAAGAGGGACCCTCAGCAATTGCTTATTAAGGGCCTCCTGAGTCGGATTTATTGGAAGGTTGCTGTCGGCAAGTTGCCTGTGGGGCAAAGGGACTGTCAGAAGGGGTCCAATAAGATGGATCGAAATTTGGTTATTAGCATGTCATCCGAAGGTGCAAGTGAACAGGATTTGAACCTGGCACTGGAGGACGATGCTGAGCAGTCAATGGATGATGGTGTAATGGTGGTCATGGTGTATGATCCACGAGTGCTGATTCAGTCGCCAACAACTGATTGGGTTATGCGTCGCGGTTTGACCGATCGTACCATCTGGCCGGCAATAGCAACTGAGGCACGGAGAATATGTGCTGAAATGGTTCAAGTGGATGAATTGAATGCCCAGCTAGGGCCTGGGACACTCCTTTTTCAAAGGAGAGATCAAGGACATTATGGTGATTTGCATCATTCGTTCCATGACAATCCGTGCTTGCCGGTGGTGGGAAATTATCCTCTCTCGGTGATGGGTGCATTGCTGTCTCCTGGTCTGGAAGGGGAATTCAAAAATACTGATAAGTTTGGAACTGCTATGGAGGCAATTGCCTACGATTGGAGTCGCAGTCCAGGCATGGAAGTTCACGTCGAACTTATGGCGAGGGTGGCCAAATTGGTTGCTCCGTTCCTTACCCTAGGAGGCCAAGGGTCAGTGGTGAATTTGGAGTTTCTCTGGCAGCGCGGGAAGGCTCAATTGATGGAGTTTCTTCAGGCGGCGACATGTGCCGATCAATTGGAGGTTCTCTGGAAAAGGATGGACGACGATGCTGATGAGGAAGTGGATCCTTCCACAATGGTGCTGGAGATTCTTGGACAGGAAGATGCGGTACTTGATCAAGGGAACAATGAATCCCTTATTCCCATTGAAGATGCTGGAGGTGAGACAATTGGTGACACTGGAAGGGATGGCAAAGCGCCAGAAGTTTCCCCAGAAGAGGAGACATCCAGTGGGTCGTCAAGATTGGCTGGCACAAGGATGTTCTTGTGGTCAGTGTATGCTCGCGTTACTTCCAGCTGGGATTTTTCTACGCAGGACCGCACGACTGGTAAGATCTTTGACAGCACAAAGGGGTATCCTGGTGAAGGACCAGACAATGGTGATGATTCTTCCTCTAAGAGGAACTTACCCTGGATCTCTGAAGACTACCTCGACGAAGTGGTGTCAAAAAAGATGGAAAGATCTTCAGATATGGATAGGTTGGATGGGTTTGTTCCGGAAAGTAAGGGACAGTTGGAAAAGGTAGAGGTGGAGAATGTTACTGCCTCTAGAATTCTTATGGCTCTTTGGAAGAAGGGATATAGAGCTGGGTATAGGAGGTTGTGTCGTTTGAACGTATCTGGATGCAAGGTTGGAGCAATGAAACATCCAATCAAAAGGGTGCAGAAGATCGGCACTAGAAAGGCCTTCATGAAAATGTTCAATGTTTTTGGATCGTCTCAGCATGGCTCAGGAGTTGGCGGAAAACCAATCATGAAGGTGGTAGGACCAAGGCCAGGTTTTCCAGCTGTACTCCAGGCATCAAATACTGATAGCACCTTGGGTGAAGGGAGCAGTTTTCAGGTACATGGCAATGTTCATGTAGAGCAGAATCGCCCTATGGACCGGTACGAGGCGGAGCGCTTGGAGAAGAGGAAGAAAGGCTTCTGCTATTGGTTCAGCAGGGGAAAAGATCGCTGCAAATTTGGTGAAGACTGCAAATTCATCCATTCAGAAGATGATGTGGTGCTGCATTCGTATTGGTGCAAATACTATGTGGCGGGGAGACCCTGTTTCGCTGGAAAGGAGTGTGCGTTCTCGCAAGATGCAACTGGTGTAAGGTGCATCCAGTTTGCTCAGTCTGGGAAGTGTCGTTATGGCGACAGGTGTGTCTTTGAGCATGGTGATCCGCTGGATGAACAGAGACCAAGGTCTCTAAGGACGCCCCCAAGGGATGGTCCAAGGAGAAGTTCTGGTTCAAAAGGTGGAGAAAAGGAGATCTCTCCTGAACGGTTCGATGATGGGGAGGAGGATTTCATGGTTTATGACGATGATACCAAAATGGTGGAACTGTTGATGGAGGCGATTTCATTTATGTCCAATGGCAAGTCAGATTTGGCTCGTGCCGAGGCGGACCCGCTGTTCAAACTCCTGAATTTCACAGGAGACACTGATCAACTGGATAGAGAATGGTGTTCGTGGACCACTGGTATGCTGTCCGTGCTGGAACTTCACGAAGTAGTGAAGTCGTATGAGGTTTCGCTCGCGGAGGTGGAAGAATGGGTCAATGACCTGAGGATATGGTTCGAGCGAGCCAACGTGGGAGAAGAGGAAGTTCCCAAAAGGGGCAAAAAGAGGTCCCTAGAAAGGGAGTCCAGCAAGGATATTCCTGCCGAAAAGGAGGTGGTTGAGACTTCGGAGACGGAGGTTGCCGTTGAGGAGGAGGTGAAAAAGGTCAAAAAGAAGAGGAAAACTGCAGCTATCGAAGATCCTTACACTCTCATGGTTCCAAAGCCGAAGAAGATGCCGGCGATCATTGAGAAGGGTGGATCATCATCCAATGCGGTAGTTTCTGCAGGGGAAAAAGCCTCGAAGATGCGCACAAAGTCAAGCGTCGTGGGAAAGACGAAGAAGAAGGAGAAAAGTCAAAGCCCCAAAAAGGAAGAGGTGGTAGTGGTGAAAGGGCCTGAGGAAAAGGATCGTTCCTCTGATGTGGATGCGCAAGCGTCTACCGCTGTGGATGCAGAGCTGGGTCAATCTTGCCAAGCGATTGAGGACGCAAAGAGAGAAGGATTGGTATCCTCAATTCAAAGGTGCGTGCAGGATCCTGTTCTTACAGTATCGGACCTGGAGTATGTTCTGCTGCGACTTCACCTCAGTATCGATACCCATCGGAAGAAGAAGTGACTGGATGGGATGGATGAAGGGATGGTTTTTCTCTTTCAGAAGACAGGTGCGCTGGAACAGCCAATGTGCTGAAAATATGGTGGTTACTATTAAGGGTATGGAAATCCCTGATAGTAGAAGTCAGTAGCTTTTCGCGTAACGAAGACCACGGTTTGTGGTGAAGAAGACCGAAGAGTCTTCAATGAAAAGAGGATCATGGTGAAAAAAGATTCTCTGTGGTTAGTGGGTTTAGCCAATGTGCTATAATTTCGTCCTGGATGACGTAAAACCATATTGTGCATTTCAAGCAGCTGGCTGCTGCCTAAATGGCGGTTTTTGGCCAAAGATCTGCACCTCCAATGTGTCCTAGGAAATCCTAGGACAGGGGGAGTGCGGAGCTGCAGTTGGTATTGTAGAAAGGAGTTGATGTTGAAAGGTGAAGGGGTCAATGTACCCGGTACAAATTTTTTGGCTCAAGGAACTTGGGCATGCGCCCTGAAGAAAGAAGTGTGTGTTGGTTTTGGGTTGGTTTGTTGTTTGTTGGTCCAGGGGATCAAGGGCTTCTGTTGGGGTTGACTATCTTGTTCCCTGTCCCCCTTTGGTTGCCCCCCGTATAGGGTTTAGGGTCCAGGGTTTAGGGTTTAGGGTGTTACAGGGACTTCACGGGCGGAGGGGGGGAGTGGAAATCATTTAGCGGTTTATAATGGGTTCGAGGTTGATAGGGGCTTAGGGCCGTTTAGGGGTTTAGGGCTTGTGGGGGTTTGGGGTTCATAGGGCTTTCGACGCTCACACTGCACGAGGCAGGCGAGGTTCATACCAATGAGGGTTTAGGGGTTTAGGTGTTTATGGTTTAGGGGAGGTTGAGGGTTTTTAGGGGCCGAGGGTTTACAACAAACCCAAATTGCTACTATTGCAAGTCCAGGTGCATGGACAAGTACAGGCCAATGGACAGGCAGGGTTTCTCTGCGGGGGCGGCGTACTGGTAAACCTTGCACGGCAATGGTTCTCAAAGGGTTCGCTCGTGGGTCAAAACCCTAAACCCTAAACCTTAAACCCTAACCCCTAAACCCACATTCACCAGCAGAAGCTAAACAGCAAAATTAAAGCATGCCTACGCATGTTCATACACCGCGAGCCCGGAGCCCGCAAACTTGAATACAACGCGGCCCCCTAAACCCTAACCCCTAAACCCTCAGCCCTAAACCCTAAACCCTAACCGCCGAGCTCAACTAGGTTCGACTCGAGGCGCCATGGTGCTCAGCGGCACGCCGTAGATCATCAGCATCATCCCTCCGTCACGGGCCGCTTTCTGTTTGTCGAGGGTATATTATCGGGGCCTTCATGACTAGAACAGGGTTTTTGGGGGGGTTATTACAAGATAGTTACAAAGAGACCATAAGGGAATACGATTAGCACTTATTCCGACCCCTATAGACTATATGGGGGTTCTACCAGCCCAGCCCCTTCAGTCAGGCTGCATCAGCTTGCCCGACCGGTTTGTGGGGCTCTCGTTCTCAATTTTGCGCAACGGCGTGGGAGGCGTTGGCATGCTTTTAAGAAGCGCGGCTTTTGTGTGGCTTTTCAGCACCCTTAACTGTAAGACTACTTGGCTTTGTAGGTTAGAGGCCCACCTGGACTCGAAGATTCTGGCAGCTGGCTCTTTACACTTGGGATGTTCCTCCTTATACTAAGAGTCCTCTATGGGGATTCTAGCACCCCCTATTATAATCCCTATTAAGGACTGTTAGTAAAAGGGGGAACATCCCAACCTAAAACGCTACAACCACGCAGGGTGCAAGCGTCGGCGCTTTGTTGTTTGTGTCTCGTTCCAGAACGTCAAGCATCTTTGGAGGGGGTTGGGCATGTCCCTCCACCCACCCAAAATCCCCCCTAAACCCTGAACCCTAAATCCAAAATCCTGATCCAAGCAAAGCCCACGAGGAACAAGGGAAGCCCTCAGGCAGGGCAACCCGGCCAAAGGCCAGAATTGGGTTTAGGGCTCCTGGAAGGTGGACCTAGCGGCATAGGCCACAAAGACGACGAGTGTTTTGAAACAAAAAGGGGTATTAACAGACATGGTGTAGGATTCCCAGTTGCCCATCCAGCCTCCGCAAGATCGCAGAAGAATCGTGGATCCAAGGACAATTTCACCTTAGTGCAGACGCAGTCTCTCTCTCTCTCTCTCTCGCAAACACGGAGAGGCAGAGCAAAACCGCACGCAAAACAAAAAGCAAGGAGGGTCATTCTGCTAACTTCTTCCTCATACGAAACTACCCGGTGCAAATCCTGTGTATGCCCCTGGCCTACTAGGAGCAGCGGAGAAGGCCACCGACGACGACAACCCGCGCACAATGATTGATTGCAGCAGCTTGGGATGTTCCCCCTTCTACGAACAGTCCTTTATGGAGGTTGCAATACGGGGTACTATCATCCCCATTGAGGACTGCTAGTACAACGGGGAACATCACGAGCAGCAGTGCTACGAGTAGAGCCGACAAGGAGCACATGCCTGATATCTGAAATAGGCCCCCGGCGGGTGGAGGTTTCTTCCGCTGCGGTTTAAGACTGTTGCTGCTCACCCCCAGGTTTCCCAACATCCCAACATCGTAGTTCTGCTGAACCCTAAACCCCAAACCCTAACACTAATGTTCCCGCCGTCGTCTTTTGCTCATTTGGAGGCCCCCCTTGACCTGACCTAATGGGCCCTGCTAAGTTCCCGCATCTAGAACAACCCACGTCCCGAATCTATAATCTGCTGTTTGGCTGGTGCCCCAATTTTTCCAAGCCTTGTGCTTAGGGTTTAGGGTTTCGGGTTGTGGAGATCTTGGCTCTCTGCGGAGAGAGAGGGGTGTTCTTCTCCTCGGGCTCAGGGTTCAGGGTTCAGGGTTCAGGGTTTAGGGTTTAGGGTTTAGGGCGGCTCTTAGGCAAGTCGCTTGACCAAGCACCGCATCGATGCAGCACTGGCACGAGCGCCCAGGTGAGAACTGCCTGAACATACCTGTGGCACCCAATGGCATATACAGGGCAAGCGTGGAATCATTGAAAACGCCAACTCCGTCTAGGCATCCGGCATCCCCCTTTTGACACCAAAGATTGCATCCCCAACAGGAGCTAGAGACATCAACAACAGCTACGGAACCCATTCGCATCATCCGAGGTGCAGGCTGCCTATGATGAACCGCCGCAAGAATGTGTAGCTCCGGCCCTCCGTGATGAACCGGGAGAGGATCGCGCCCAGAGGTTGCAACACCTGCACATCTTGTGGTTCACTTTGTGTTATATAGGGGCCATGACTCGAACTCTGCGAAGTCAGAAGTTGGGCCCCGGGGAGTTTTAAGGGCTCAGGGTTAGGATGTTCCCAACATCCTGCTAACCCTCCTTAATAGGGATCATAGTACCCCCTATTCTAATCCCTTCAATGGTCAATTCGCATGAGGGGGAACATCCAAACCTTAGGGTTTTAGGGGGATTCCCCAAATCCCACCGACTCTAACCCGCAGCCTGCGGGGCGGAGAGCATGAACCCAGAGGACACGGCTCCGTAACCAAGCCTGGGCGGACTGAAAGTTGCAAGCCATGTTCCTCTCACACCTTCTGCTTCAGAATCTTGAAATCACGTATCACGAATCTCAAGGTAATGTCCCCAGTATCCTGCCCTTCTCGCAACCATTCGTTCCCGCTTGGTGCTTGTTTCTGGCCTCTTGCGCCCTGCTCTCTCTCTCAGTCTCTCTCTCTCTTGCTTTCTTTGGGGCAAGGGGCAAGCCCCGCGCCAAGGCGCGCCCCGATCCTGCGCCACTCGGGCCTCTTCTATCCGCCGCCCCATGTTTTTTTTCTCTTTGCTTTGCTTTGCTTAGGGGCATAGGGACGAACCCTGCGCCGAGGCGCGCCCCGCTTCCGCGTTACGTGAAACTGCAATGTTGTCTGTGGCCGCCCTGTTGGCGGCCGCGCGATGCGCCGCCTTAGTGAGTCCTTAGTGCTCCCTGCAAGCCAACTCCCACACCACCAGTATCCCCAAACCCCCCAGAACCCCCAAACTGCCAGAACCAGCCGAAACCTAGCCCCCTATCCCCCACCCCGCAACACCGAAGACCTCCCCAAGGCCCCCTGAACGACGCCTCAACCTTCCGAAGGTCCAACCTCCCCGTCCCCCACCCCTCAACTCTTAGCCCCTTCACAGGTTACGTTCCCACCAAAGGCTCTGTACCGACACCGCGCAACGGCCATCCCCGTGATCCCCAAGCCGCCCCCCTTAGTGAACTACACACCTACACCATCATGCCGGGGAGGCTCGACAACACTCTGGCCCTTACTGTGCACGGGCCTTGTTGGCGTGAGACTGCTAGCGGCCCAGCCCCAAACCCCTAAATCAACACTTGCTAACAGCCCCCCAACAGCCCCCTACACTGCTGGTTCCACGTGTTTTTTCTCTCTTTCTTTCTTTCTTTCTTGGGGGCGAGGGGGCAAGCCCCCGGGCGTTCGCGCCCGCCCCGGAAAACTCTCTCTCTCTCTCACTCTCTTCCCCCCCCCCCCTCTCTCTCCCTCTCCCTCCCTTTAGGGTCTAGGGCTAAGGGTTTTGGGGTTGACCTTAAGCCTTACATTCTCTTCCCCTCTTCCTTCTCCCCAATTCTTCTCTCTCCCTGGTTCTGTCCTCCTCGCCCCTGCCTTAGTGTGCTCTAAAAACCCCGGAGGCCCGGCTGCGGAGGCCCCACCGAGCCAATTTAAAGCCTTGGTAGAAATTGAAAGAAACAGGAATCACAGTAGGGGGAGAGAGACAGAGCAAGAGATAGGGATGCAAGGAGAAGAGACTCAACGAAGAAGAGCAAGCAGGAAGACAAATCTCTGGTCCTAGTTTTGTCTTCTTGCTTTGTGAAGAGAGGAAGCGGAGAAACAAAAAGTAAGAATGGAAGTCAAGAGGTTTTGCCCGCATCATCCCTTTCCTCCTCATATTGTCATCTCTCTCTCTCTTTCTTTCTTTCTTCCGGAGGGCGTGGAGGCCGAAACCTCCGGGCGTCATCGCCCGCCCCTGTTTCCGGAGCGGTACTCGGGCACAGTTGAAGACAATGATGTCTCTCTCTCTCTCTCTCTCTCTTCTTATGTGTCTTCATTTTCTTCTGCTGCAGGGCTTGATCTCTCTCTGCTTATTTGTATTCTTCTTCTTCTTCTTCTTCTTCTTCTTCTTCTTCTTCTTCTTCTTCTTCTTCTTCTTCTTGTTCTTGTTCTTCGTCTTCTTCTTCTGCTGTCTTTCTCGCTCTGTCTTCCCCCCTACCCCAGCCCCCCGCCGCCACCCTTTACTCCAAACCCAAACAAACCCCAAACCCCAAACCCAGGGGTAGCGCTCTGATCATACATATATATATATATATCTAGAAATACATCTACGGTACATATGCATATACATGTATGTATATACCTGTGTATACATATTGCTGTGTGTCTCCAATCAAAGTTATGAAGCAGCAAAGGCTCTGTCGCACAAGGTCGTAAGAAATTGGCGTCAGAATCGTCATGTCCTCGGCTTTGTCAACATTCATCTTGGAGCCCTCTGCCGTCGACGGGGCCGACTTCTTGAAGGCAGCCAAGCAACTATTGTGGCGAGGATCCACTGCCCCAGCCAGACTACCCGCAGAGCTCGGCGCCCGGAGGAGAAGACGTCGCCCGTCTCAGGGGATACTGGGTTCACAACCCCGCCTGCTGCGTGAAGCCTCTCAAAGCCCAAACACCTCCCTTGTCGCGGCCCCAACCCCCAACCCCGAACTCTCTAACCCCAGCACAGACCCCACAACAAGGTTTCAGGAACCCCAAACCGAGGCCCTGGAGCCTAAACAGTATAATTTTTCAGAGGCAGGCCATAGGTCTGTAATCCCCCCATGGTTTTGAACCCGGAAGTGAGCTGCATCCTCCCCTTCCACGCTGAGCGGAGCATGTGACGGGAGCCTGTTCCCTGAAAGCAACGCGCCGAAACCCAAACCGAACTCTCGTAGCTTGCAGGAGTGCCCAAAGACGACATGATTCAGCCCAAAGGCATCAAGCCCCAAATGCACAAATACCCGCCAAAACCATCCAATGAAGCTCTACAAGCCCAACACTACGCCCACCCCCCCCCCCCCCCCCCCCCCAAAAAAAAAAAGAAAAAACAGCAGGCCTCGCCTTGCAGCTCAAGGCCTCCAGAAGCACGGGTAGCAGCAAGCAGCCAACCTTGGCTACGGGCTGTTTCAACTCATGGCCTCAACAATCATTTTAAGGCTCAAGGGTTGAGAACAGTAGATCGTTCGGGGTTGAGTGTTGAGAAGCTTGGGGCTTCAGGTGCTTGCGGACACTGCAGCTTGAGGTTTAAAAGCTTAAAACGGTCTGGGCTCAGGTAGACTTCGCGCATTTTGAGGCATGCCCGCCTAGAAAGCACTTCATTAATGGCTGGGGGCTTTTCGCCAGTAAGAGCGCCTGGAGAGCTTAGGGGTTGCTTGGGGCCAGGAGGGCGTAACCCGAACCAGCTTGTGAGCCTTCTCGAAGGGCGATGGCATGCTGGTAACCCGCACTTTCATTGGACTTTTAGGGCAGATGGGGCTTCTTACGGGGGGCTAGTTGTGGGCAAGTTCACTGGAGATATGGCCGGCGTCCACTCTCTTGTACGCGGATGGGCAACACGGCTAGAACGAATCCCTGCCTGCCCTCGGCCCAAAACCCGGGGTTTCCGACATTAGGGGTACCTTCTTGTGGTCCTTATCGTATGGGAATCCCAATATTTGGGGTCCATGTTAGGGTGCCCTATTCTCAGAAAACCCCCCAGTTAAGACCCCACAGGCCCTCAAAGAAAAAAAGCCGCGGCGCAGAGAGAAGGATGGTGACCGAGGAGAAGCTGTCACCGATGGCCTTCATGCCACGGATACTGGGGCCACTCGGGTTTAGGGTTTAGGGCCAGTTTAGGGTTTAGTGTTTGTAGGGTTTGTAGGGTTTGCAGGGTTTGCAGGGTTTGCAGGGTTTGTAGGGTTTGTAGGGCTCAGATCACAAAACTGACACTTCCTAAACCAATGTCAAGTCATGGAGTACCTGGAAACCAGTGCACGTCAGCCTGTCAACAGGATGATCGGCCGCAAACACGCGACATTGCACGCCGACGAGACGCGCAAAAGCTCGCTGGTTCCTTTATACGCGGGGCTAAAGGAGGTACCCTTATAAGGGACCTTAGGGGTTCGTTAGGGGTTATTTAGGGGCTACTTAGGTTTTTATATAGGGACTAGTCTAGGGGTCCCTCCGTATGTTTGATGGCCTCCACCCCCTAACACCAACCCTCACCCCAGACCAAGGGCTTGCAGGCATAATTGAACTTAAATACTTGATTCTAAAGTAACAGTAATATATTAATGCAACATGCGAGTGTAAAAATGAAAGAACTTAAAAGCACAACATCATCATATGGCAATCTAAAGCATGCGTCAGCAGGCCTCGAGCAAGTGGCCGGAGCCAATCAGCTCAACAGCGGACATATGGAGCACGTGCCTCGATGAACGCGCAGTTGAATCCGCGGGGTCGGGGGTGAAGGGGGAGTTCCTTTATTCAGGAACTTGCACATTTGGTTGTTTACGATTCATGTAGTCGCCAGATAGTAGGATTCCCTTATTAACAAGGAGCCCAATAAGGTACCCCTTCTTTCGGACATCCCCATGTTGCGGGAGCATACGCCCCCTGGTGCGGGAAACGCGTGGGTTCTCTCTGAAGTATGGCCCTTTCTAGAGTGCTTCGTATATTGGGCCACAGCTCAGTCTTTGCTGTGGCAAACACAGGGCTGCTTGCGGTGCTGGCTTCTTAGAACGGACGCGACATGTGTTGGTTACGTCTTCAAACCCGCTTCCTCCACTGCGTTGTCACTTCCTCGTGGGATCCCTTCTCAACAAGCTCTCTCAACGACATCTCGCGCCAGCGTTGCGCAATCAGACTGTCCGAGTTGTTGCGCAGAATTCAGGTTGTGATTCTTATCTTCTATCATGATCATTGCGATTGTTGTTACTGATATGAGCTATTGGTTATTGAAACTACTATTACTAACCACTTGCAAAGGTTGCACGCGTTCATGCTTGCTACACGTTTTGCCTCGGAAGCTTCAAGCCTGCCGCTCGGTAACCGGATGGGAAAACCTGAACCAGCTGCTGTTTCAACGTATATTTTTTGGGATGTCCCCCCTTATACCAACAGTCCTGAATACGGATGGTAGTACCCCTGCCTATTGTCATCCCTGTTAAGGACTGTTATGTATAAGGGGGAACATCCCAAAAAAATCTTGCTTGCCCTGGGGCTTTTGTGTAGTAGTTAGGTTCTGAAGAGCCTGGCTAATTTCGGGAGGGGAAAACAATCAACAAAAAACTGTGCATCATTCCAAGGCGCTCCGCATGCGAAGTCACGGCAACGGCCTCCGAGCCGACATCCTGTACCAGCTTGCGCCCGCGCTGCTGCAGCAGACACAAGCTGGCCATCTCAATCTGTCAGACGTTGTACTGACATAAAGGCCGTCAGGGCCTGGAAAACAACATGCAGTTCGCTTTGAGCAAAAAGGAAGCTGGCGGGAAAGCTTTTGACACCTGCTGGCTCACCAGAGTCCTAGGTCGTGAGCTTGCACCAGATGACACACGTTGGCGTATGGTGCGATTATTCATGTTTCTTACTCAACCTCGGCCCCCCCCCCCCCCCCCCCCCCCCACAGCCCAAAAGCGATCAGGCCTTGATCTTCTGTGCCTTTTCCTGGCTGGACAGGCGCTGGTACGGCTGCTCATGTGTGATCGAGCGGCCTGGTATGATACCTCCACGCCTGCTCTCAGCCGATGCGCTAAAGAGAGAGGCACCTGAAACCGACGGTTAGAAGGCCTTGCCGCGGCTTAACTCCATGCCGCCTTGGCCCACCTTTCAAGTAAACCCTGTGAGCAGCCTTCAGCCAAACGTCGAGGTCGCTCGTGTCGCTCTTCGCCTGGACGAGTCAGGTGACGCAAAATGTCTCCGCTAGTAAAAATTGGGCCGGTGGCTCGTTCACCTCCCTCTGACACGTTTAGAACTTCTAGAACTTGGAACAGGCTGGTTCCGCTCTTACAGCATCCCAAGCCCTTCTACACTCCACAAGTCTTCAGTCTGACTCTCATCCTTGCCAACACAGCCCTGAAGGGCAGATCTCGGATCGTTGGGGGAACATGCAGGCAGCGTTGAAAGCACTCTAAGGGGCCAGCGTTGGTCGGGGACACGTCGGCAGCTCCGCCAGGGACGGTGCTTGCCAGGCTGCTGCTGCCTTCGGGGTTAAGGTCGGTTGCAGCGCAGCTGCTCGCGTGAGATTCGTTAGCCCTCAGCCCTCAGCCCTCAGCCCTCAGCCCTCAGCCCTCAGACCCTAGCCCGTAGCCCGAACCCGAAGCCCCAGCTTTGCAAGTCGCAGGAATAGGGGCCATAAGCTCCAGCTACGCATGCGTGGGTGCTTTGGCCGCCCCTCTACACTGTTGGACCGAAAAGATGCTTCCAGCGATCGGTTGGGGAGCTGAAGGGCCATGGTGATGGCAAGCCCTCTGGTCCCCAAACCCTCAACCCTAACCCCCCAGCTCTAGGGATTCAGGGTCCAGGTGTGTCTTTGCTCTGACCTTGTGGACACTCTGCCCGCAACCCTAAGACCCCTAAACCCCCTAAACCCCCTAAACACCCTAAACCCCCTAAACCCTAACACACCTCCCCCTTTTTTGGGCTGGGGCCGCAGCTGCCCATCGGTGCCAGGCTGCCCCCGGCGACCGGCGCGAGACTGAGCAGGGTCTTCTCAAGATGCTCATGCCTACTGGCTCCTAGGGCCCCTAGGGCCCCTAGGGCCCCTAGGGCCCCTAGGGCCCCTAGGGTTTAGGGTTTGGGGTTTGGGGTTTGGGGTTGGGGTTTAGGCGCTCACTCTCGCACAAGGCCGGCAAGGTTTGGGGTTTAGGGTTTTTGCCACCCGACTAGCCACAGCACTGCGCAGTCCAATGGTCGGAGTTGGGAAAACCTAGAGAAAAATCTTCCCAAAACGGCACAATCCTGCGTCGGGATATTGCCCTGGGCATTCAGGTTAGGAAGAAGTTAGGCTTGTTGATGGCACCCTCGTCACCGGTAACCAGAACCACTCAAGGGAAGCAATGACCCGGCATAAGAAACAGACTTACGTGGTCCTGGTGCGGTGTGGGTGCGTGATGTTCAGGGTCGTGGTTTAGGGTTTAGGGTTGGGATTTTCCCTTATACTAACAGTCCTTGTTAGGGATCATAATCGGCGGTACAATAATCCCTTAACTGTTAGTATATAAGGGGGAACATCTCAAGTTTAGGGTTTTTGCCACCCGCACTGCCCTCACTCTCGCGCGACTCTGCAGGGACGCAATGGTCGGGGTTTAGGGTTTGGGGCACCTAACATCTTGCTCTGTGTGAATACTTCATGTCTTTTTTGAAGGGTTCTTAAGCACAGTTCGTCCTGTGTAAGATGTTGGGGTAAACTTGGGAGAGAGAGGGGCTGGGTCATCTGGCAGATGACCTGGACACTTTGTTGCAGTTCCTGTTCTTGTTGTGTTGTCTTGGGGGAAGTCCAACCCTTTTGCAACAGGCTTCTCTGCGTCCGCGCGCAAGTCTTCCACACTAAACCCTACATAAACCCTTTTGCAAACTGCGCAAACGACTCTGCCAGGAAAAGCCCAAGGACCAAACCCTAAACCCTAAACCCACAAAAATGACGATAATTTATTTAACGGCACAGTAAGCATGCAGGCGCTCTTGAACAAGAAATGAGGTCGGAAGCCGTACATCTGTGGAAGCTCCATGCCCAGGCCCCTTTTCTATTTGGCTTCAAGGTTTAGGGTTTCTGCTTTGGGTTTAGGAAGCCCTAAGTTTGAATCCCTAAACTTTAAACCTAGCGTAAGGCGCGCGCACACCCTCGCGACCGGACGTCGGGAGAAAGGCGCCGAACCTCAAGTTCCCCAAACTACTGGTTCTTAGTAGGGGATTAACAGAAATAGGTACCTTATATCCTCCATACCCTTTAAGGGTTACACAGCGCACCTAGCTCCCTGATTCCTTACCAAGAACCAGAAAGCAAAAGCGCTCCAGGACCGGTATGAAATCCTCCAAGAGGCTTAAAAAGGAATGATCGCTGTTCAACATAAAACGGTGTAGGGCTTCGGGTTTGGGGTCAGGGGTGACCCTAATTGTGGGAGACTGCCAGAATTGAAAAGTGAAAGTTGCAGCTGATGTCGGGCTTCATTAGCACTATGGATGATGGGATGAGATTAAGACAGTTTTCGAAACTGCATGCATCTCGACAAGGTGCACGCAGGACCCACCTCCACAACCCCTTCCACGATCCCATGCTTACATTTGTATGGCAGTACCTACAGGCAAGGCTCTAAACCCCAAACCCCAAACCCTAAAACATAAACCCCTAAGGCCTGAAACCTGCTTGCGATACTTGTAACATACCACAGGCACTTGTGCTTCAAAGCCCGCTGCCTGCTGCGTGCGCTCTTCGAAAAAACCAACACCAAGTCGCACAAACAAATGGGAGTCTTCCACAAACTGCGTGGACGTCTTGAAGTTTTGACTCAGAGCTTCAAGCAGCCTTCAACCCAGAACCCAAGAAGTCTGAACACCAAGGCCCGGGCGGCTCTGATTTGAGCTCCCCATCTTGCCTTTCGAAGGAAAGTTGCATCTCGGCCTCTCACGGCAGCTGCCGAGTTCATCAAAAGCTCGGACACTATGGGGGGTCCCTACTGTGGGGTGTTCCTTCTAAGGTTAACGGCTTAGGGTTTAGGGTTTAGCGCAAAGGGCCCGTGGCCCCGTAACTTAGATCAAGCACCATGGTCCACATCTAACATTACTGCTTACGGCTTCCAGCCCACTCTGTCACTCTCATTCCATTTTCGTTCCGGGTTTAGACCGTTAAACCAACCTTCAGAATCCTTTTTTGCATCCTAAACCCTAAACCCTTTGAACCCAGACTCCTTTTTTACCCTCAACCCTAGACCCTCAAAACCCCATATCCATTTACCTCTGAGCCGAGCTCGCCCGAAACACTGGCAACTTGTTGGGGGAGACCTGAGAGGACCGAAAAAAACCCTCAAAACGCTCCATAGCCTGGAGAGAGGTGAAGGACCGACGTAGCTGGTTCACCTGCATCTGGGTAGTTCCCTAACTCAGGGTCCCCTTTTGGGGGTCCTTATTTTCAGGGTGCCGTATTATATACTAAACCTCAAACCCCAAACCCTAAACCCTTTTTACTCAACTACCCATGTCGGGCTGAGGGCCTAAGATTCGGGGGCGCGTTGTAGGCGTTTCTGCTTCTCACGCATCATGCGCGACGCGTGATCCGCATGCCTTCGAGACAGTCCGGTAAGACAGGCCCTGAATTGCAGTACATGGGGCTTGCTCCATTTTGGGCCGGTTTTTGGGGGGTACCATTACAATGCGGGCTCTTGCGCATAAGATGCCCAGGAGCCATGCGCGGATGCGCATTAAATTTGGGTTTAGGGTTTAGGGTTTAGGGTTTGGCACGCGCTCTCTGCCAGCAGTGCTCAGCGCTCCCTTTGCTTTCCGAGGCCGCGGCACATGTGGCCGAACCCCCAGAGCATGCACACACTCAGGACTTTTCAATGAGGCCCGCTCCCGCAGGAAGCAGTCAGCCCCACTTCAACAAGCCCCGGGCCACAGCCGGAAAAGGTTTAGGGTTTAGGGTTTAGGGTTTAGGGTTTAGGGTTTAGGGTTTAGGGTTTAGGGTTTAGGGTTTAGGGTTTAGGGTTTAGGGTTTAGGGTTTAGGGTTTAGGGTGATCCTTGCTTGCTGCACGTCCCCAGGGCCTGTGATCCGGGAAGCGAGTTTTTTTTTGAGCTAAACCACGGTCAGCGTCTCCTTAAATCGAAGACCGTGCAGTACAAGGGTCTCAAAACTTAAACCCCGACATAGGAGCCACACATATAGACCCCCAAATAGTAGGATCCCCTTATAATAAGGAGACTCCCTAAGTTCGGAAACATCCGCATGTACTTCGCAATACCCCGCATATCTGATGGGACTCTGCAGAGGTGGTGGCCTACACCCTAAACCCTTAACCCTAAACCCTAAACCCTAAACCCAGGAGCCTTCTCCGATGGAGCCTCAATGTGCCTCGCTTCAGGGCCAAAGCCTCCAGCAGAGAAAGGCTCCAAGGTTCAAAGACAGGGTTTAGGGTTTAGGGTTTGACTTATGAACGCTCCGTTGCCCTGTTCGCGCTGTTCGCGCTGTTCGCGGTGTTCGCGCTGTTCGCGCTGTTCGCGCTGTTCGCGCTGTTCGCGCGGTTCGCGCTGTTTGCGCTGTTCGCGCTGTTCGCGCTGTTCGCGCTGTCCGCGCTGTTCGCGCTGTTCGCGCTGTTCGCAGTGTTCGCGCTGTGTTCGCGCTGTGTTCGCGCTGTGTTCGCGCTGTGTTCGCGCTGTGTTCGCGCTGTGGCGTTGTTCGCGGGGCGTTGTTCGCGCGGCGTTGTTCGTGCTGTTCGCGGTGTTCCCGGGGCGCTGTTCGCTGTGTTCGCGCTGTTCGCGCTGTTCGGAAGGGCTTGCAGCAGCACCACCTGCTGGGACTTATGGGTTTAAGACTTAGGAATGCTGAGGGCTTAGATCGGGCTTAGGGTTCGGGTGAAAGTTAAAGCCTCTAAACCCCTAAAGTTCTTCACAGCCAACAACCCTGAACGCCTAAACCCTGAAGACCTAAACCCTAAACCTTAAACCCTAAATAGACCCTACTGTAAACCTTGGATGTGAGCTCTATCTCGTTTCGCGACCCCTTCTGTAGAACTATCTCCTGCTACTTTCTGCTTGGTAGTTGGGGGCCATTTCTGCCATATTCCTGAGAGGATTTATGCATTGTTTTCTGAGGATTTATGCCTTCTTTCTTGGGAGGTTACACCTTGTTTCTCGAAAGATGTATGTCTTATTTCTCGGAGGATTTCTTGGAGGACTTGCAATAAATCATAGATCCTCTAAGAGACACAGCGCACACCTCCGAGAAATACGGAGGAATCTCCCGGAGGTAATTCAGGCATAAGTCCGCCGAGAAATAACGCATAAATCCTCCCAAAAATCCAGCCGAAATACAACAAACATAATGAAGGCGTGACAACGGTATAAAGAAAACATGTTACAACGCACCTCCAACCCTAACCGTCTCTCAACGATAGGAAGAGCCGACAAGAGCCGACACATTGAGACTTCTTCGTCTCAATGATGTGCACCCGTCGCGACAACGATGCTACATTTTGGGGCAAGCAGTCCATCGGGTAAGAGGGCTAAACTTGTTTTGGTATGCTTTCGGGTTTATGATATTGTTTTTTTTTTTTATTTTTTGTGATTTTGGGTTCATTTTGTAAAGGATTTGCTTACATCCTCAAGGCATTTTTTTTGGAATAGTTATTCTATAAACCCTAAACCCTAAAAACCCTGAACCCTGTTCGCGCTGTTCACACTGTTCTGTTCGCGCTGTTCGCGCGGTTCGCGCTGTTCGCGCTGTTCGCGTTGTTCGCGCTGTTCGCGTTGTTCGCGCTGTTCGCGCTGTTCGCGTAGTTCGCGCTGTTCGCGCTGTTCGCGCTGTTCACGCTGTTCACGCTGTTCGCGCTGTTCGCGCTGTTCGCGCGGTTCGCGCTGTTCGCGTTGTTCGCGTTGTTCGCGCTGTTCGCGTTGTTCGCGCTGTTCACGTTGTTCGCGCTGTTCGCGCGGTTCGCGCTGTTCGCGCGGTTCGCGCTGTTCGCGCTGTTCGCGCTGTTCGCGGGGCGCTATGGTGTTCATGAGTGTAGGGTTTGGGGTTTAGGGTTTGGGGTTTGGGGTTTAGGGTTTGGGGATGGGGTTTGGGGTTTGGGTTTTTTTTCGGTTTAGGGCTTCGGGGATCCGGGCTTCATGCCACGAAAAGACTACCGACAGCAGACGGCTGCAAGTTCGGCATTTGGACCGCACGACCCTTCAAAGCACGAACAGTGGCAAGTCTGGCCCGACTGCGGCTCTTCCAAGATCTACATCTTTCACATTCCTCCACATCTCAAGTTGCCCTGCTCATAACTCGATTGAATGCAATGGCCGCCCTAAACCCCTTTTGTTGCAAAAAGGCCTTGGAACCCTCGACCCTTAACCCTAGATTCTCGCTCCCTCTACTTGCCTGACCCTATGTAAGCCCTAAAACCTAGACCCTAACCCCCCAAAAATTGGCGGTAGGCTTCCAAGGTATTTTCGCCTAGTCGATGGGCAGTACGGTTGACTGAACCTGCTTGTTGCAGCCGGACTCCTGTGGGTTTACTGAACCCTGAACCCTGACCCCTGAACCCTGAACCCTGAACCCTATATGTGAGCCCTAAACCCTCAGCCCGTGTAAGCCCTAACCCTTGCCACCTTACTGCAACTACAAGGAGGAGCCCCCCCCCCCTTGTTGTAAGCAGAGTTATAAGAACCCTAAATTGGTAGGGTAGGGTAGGTAGGTAGTTATAAGGATCCTGAATTAGGCTATCAGTCCCTTAACTACAATTGGCATAGTAGGGGGGCCCCCTCCTTGTAACCAGTGCTGGGATCCCCTACGCCAACTTCCCATGGCGCTAGCGCCGCTCGCGCCACTGGCGGCGGCAGCGCCGGCCGCAGCGGGCGAAAAGGGCCTGGCACTTCCCAGAGAGCTGAATGCCTTGGGATGTTCACCCTTGTACTAACAGTCCTTAATCTTAGTTGCTGAGTTCATAAGCCCCAAAAAAGTGTACGCTTTCAGTTCTATAGGGGATTACAGTATCCAAAGTGTACTCACTCAGCTACTCAGTTAATATGGCTTATCGTACCCCCGATTATACTGTGAGTATAAGGGGGAACATCCCAACCAATCCATCTCAATAAGGAATTTGCCTTCCTCTTCTGCCCGAAAAATCATGAAGGAGTCGCAGCCAATCGCGAAAGATCTGTGCCAACCGGGACCCTCTCAGGCGGAGTTTGGGCCCTTTTGGTTTTGATTTTTGGGGTGTCTGCTGATGATGATGGCATGCATTTCTCATGCCAATCAAGCTTCCACCTCAATGGCGGTAGCGCCCATGGTGTGATCGAGTGGGGGCACTTCCTCCTATCCTTGTTCATGCTGGGTAGAGGGTTCGGGACTCGTCACTATGTTGGATGCTGGATTCTGTGGTGGGGCTTGAGGGGCAATCCAGTGCTGCTGACGGAAAAGCAAGAAGCAAGAACTTTCAAGGCCTGTGGGCAGCACGTGCATAGCAAGACAAAGCAAGCAAACCCTAAACCCCAAATACCCACAAAGAAACGCTGCACGACTGACAAACATCTGCCAGTCTACCCGGGTGCGGCTGGGGACCAGCTGCTCATGGTCTCGATCAGGGGATCGCCAGTCCTGGGCTTCGTTGCAACCAGCCTCTGAGTCGGTTCTGGGTTCAGGGTTCAGGGTTTAGGGTTTAGGGTTTAGGGTTTAGGGTTTAGGGTTTAGGGTTTAGGGTTTAGGCACATCATCGGGACCAACCTTCCAGGTTTGGGGTCTGGGGGTCTTTAGTGGTTTGAGGGGTTGGGCTTTCGGGTTCAGTGGGTTGAGGGGCTTAGGGCCTAGGACTTTTTAGGGTTTAGGGTTTAGGGTTTAGGGTTTAGGGTTTAGGGTTTAGGGTTTAGGGTTTAGGGTTTAGGGTTTAGGGTTTAGGGTTTAGGGCATGGCTCACTCAGCAGGGTGTATCCAGATGCAGCTGACATACCAAGCTATCAAACGGCCTTTCAAAGGAATTAAATGATCGATGGCAGCCCAGGGGGCCTTCACGCCCACAAAAAGCCGCAACTCCAAACCACAAAGTTGCAAATTCCAACGACCCAAGCAGGAGACATCAAGCCCCCCATCTTTGCTGCAGCCTTCACAGCCCCCAGAAGATACGATTCTGCTTAGAGGTGAGGGTTCAGGGTTTAGGGTTTGCCCACGAATCTACAGCACGGCAAGCACATCTTGCGCACATCATCGGCCGTGCATGACTTAGCAATGCTAAGCTTTGGCTCGCTTGGGGCCCGGACGCGGCATCTCCCAACCTTGTGCTGTTGCAGGATGTAGGGTTCAGGGCTTCGGGTTTAGTGGAAACTTACCTGGGTCCGTTGGGCGCCCAGGTGTCTTGCTTCCATCAGTTCTCGGCTTAGGAGTTAAGCTTCCAAGGATCGTTCACAAGGTGCATGGCGTGTTTGCTGTGATGGCGCCGCAGGCATCCAGGAGCTCTCTCACACACAAAGGGCGCGGCTCCCCAGATGTCCCGTCATGCACGCCATCGCGCAATGGATGGGCACACCAAGCTGGCAGCCAAAGCAGCGACGGCAGACGGTGAAAGGCAAGAGAGATTTCCCTTCTCACAAGGTTGGCAGCAGGCTCCCACAAGTAGGTAGGGTCAGGATCTTGCCTGGGGAGGCCAGGAACTAACTTGCTCAGGTCCCGGCAAAAACTGCTACAACTTGAGAAACTTGGAATGGCCACCTGGAGAGTCGGAGCGCGCTCCAAGGAAACTCGCTCCCCTTTTCTCCCCAGCGCCACGCAGCGGGCTGTGGCAGCGCGCCCAGTCGCTGCAAAAGCTCCTCGCGCCTTGGAAACATGGGGGGGTTAGGGCTTAGGGCTTAGGGCTTAGGGTTTAGGGTTTAGGGCTTAGGGTTTAGGGTTTAGGGTTTAGGGTGTCTCTTCACGCCAGGCTGCGCGGCATCCACCGGGCGTCTTGCCTCTGCACGGCGCAGCGCCTCGTCGACCTGGTACTCCTGAATGAAGGGGCCCCGAAGAGTGAAGGGTTTAGGGTTTAGGGTTTAGGGTTTAGGGTTTAGGGTTTTGGGTTTAGGGTTTAGGGTTTAGGGTTTTTTTGCCACCCGACTAGCCACGGTTTAGGGTTTAGGGTTTAGGGTTTAGGGAAGCAACTGAAGCGAGAAACCTGTTGGGCCACTGGAGATCTTGATCGAAGCGCAGCCTGATTGAGGGTCTTGAGCGTTCCTGACATTTAAGGGAAAAGGGATGCTGCAACCCTATAATTTTCAGAAGACACCCCCCATGACGTTTGCAAACTCAAACAGGCGCCATCCAACATTTTGACTCCGAAATATCGACGCAGGTGCAATCACGGCAGTTTGCTTGGCTTAGCCAGCCGTACCGATGTGAAACATGTGGTTGAGCAGCAGGTCAAACCTGCGTCTCCGCCTGTGCTTTCTGTGTTCAGCTTTGCTTGCGACATGTTGTCACTCAATCCTTTCCCCGGACTGCAGCTGCTTCTTGTCGTAGATGTCCATCATGGTGCAGTTGATATCATCAGGCATAAGGGCTCGGTCCAACTTCCTCATGCCATGCTGAGCCACTCCGAACGTCTCGATGGTCGGCTTCCACCCATATCTGTGCGAAGTGCAGCTCGGCTTGGCATAGCGCTGCTGAGGCAACAGCCTGTAGCGATGCATCAGGCGATGCCGGTCGTTGATGAACTCGATGTCCTCCTTGGGTGCCGCTGGGGGCCAGCTTGCAGCCGATGTCCCAGTACCCGACTTCAGGACCTCCTGCCCGGCACTGGCTAAGGAGGGCGCCGAGGCCGAGGACTTCAGCGCCTCCTGGGCTGCCTGGGCTGCCTGTGCCTCCTTCCGCATTTCGGAGCGGAACCGGCGCGTTGGGGCCTTGAAGAAGCCCCATCGCGGCTCCCACTCGCGCTGCAGCTTGTATTCCATGGTGAGCAAGGTCCTATAGTTCTCAATGGCGTCCTTCGTGTCAAGCCCCTTTCGGCCAGCCATGGCGCCGGCAGGGGAAGACCAGGAAGACTACGACTACGACTGAATTCCAACAACCCTTCACTCGAGCCAGCAGGGTTGTCGTGCTCAGGGCTTAACAGAGTAGTTTACAGAACTGACCACGTGCTCAAGCGCCAGAACAGCTGCACGACAAGGGGAGCACCCACAATGCAAGGACCTTCAGGCGCACGAACGTGAACCCTTTTTGCAACTGGACTGCGAACAACTGCCAGGACAAGACCTTATAAACCCTCCCCCCGAAAGCTGCGTCTCTAGCCCACCTGGCCCACCAGCGCTCCTTTCGTCGCACCGCCTCGAAGATTCTACGGTGGCGGCCTCGAGCACGCAGCAGCCGGGCCTCCAACAATGCCTTGCGGATGCGAAGTGCTGATCAAGGTTTGGCCCCTTATGGTTTATGAGTTTGGGTAGGTGTACTGCAAGGCGTATGCCGCTCGCTTTTTGGGGCATTTCTCTTCAAGTCAAGTCTGGCTCCCACAAAAACCATCCGGAGCTAGACTCGGACTTAACTGATACTAACGCCATAACCAGACCCATCAGGTCCCCGTTTTACCTGCTTCTCTTTTTTTGGGGGGATGTGCCGGTACTGGGGAGAAGTGATGGGGATCCTAAACCCTAAGCCCGAAACCCTAAACCCACCCACCTCCCCTCTGGCGCCTGATCGCTGAGAATCCACCTGCTCTCCATTTCCGAGAGGGCCTCACAGAGGCTCTGGCCGGAAACGCCTCATCCTTGATTCCCTCCCCCTAATATTGAAGGTCCCCTCCCCCCCCCCCCCCCCGATAAGAAATACTAGATTATTATGTTATGGTAAAAAGGGGACCCCCCAATTAGCGGGGGTTTCATATGGCAACCTGGTCGCGTTCATGCCCTGAGCCCTTGTACTAGTTGGGGAACTTCGGAACAACGGCATGGTGATGACCGGCCTCCCCAGCAGCTCGTGTTGAAGACCTGTGGACAGTCACATGCGAAATGTCATGCATTCTGGAGGAGGGGAAGGAGGGAGGGAGAGGGAGAGGGAGAGCGAGAGAGAGGGGTGGAGACAGAAGAGCGAGAGGGAGAGAAATGAAGCGAGAGAAGCCAGAAGAGAAAGGAGAAGGAGCACACACAAATTTCAACCACAGAGGGTCTGGTACAAGTATCACTGACGGTGCTTCTGAACACCCTCATCCCCTGCGGCAAGGGCACTCTGCCACATGCGGCAGGGTGGAGCGGGTGAGGATCAACTCACGGAGTGTCGTATAGCCTCACAGGTATCGGGAGTTGAACGTAGTCTTCAGGGTTCATGGTTCATGGTGCAGGGTTTAGGGTTTAGGGTTCAGTTGCCCCTACAACCTTGGAGGTCCTGTTCTTTGGGCGGCCTTTCTCAGGGTGCTCTGCCTGGTCATCACCTGACACAGCCATACTGTGTGCCGGTGTACCTATCTTGCATCTGTATGTTTACATTGTCAACAGAGCAACCTAGGCACTCTGCAGAAGGCTGTTGAAACAAATAACTCCATGTCTGCGCTGCTCTGCATCATTCAGTAGCCGCGTCTTGCAGCATCAGGCAACGCCATCGGACAAGTCTCAGGCTCTACAGCTGGCCGTGCATCCCAAGACAGGAACGTCGGACCCCTGTTGCTGGGTTTAGGGTTTAGGGTTTAGGGTTTAGGGTTTAGGGTTTAGGGTTTAGGGTTTAGGGTTTAGGGTTAAGCAGTTGGTATGGGCTCGGGACCCTTCGAGCCTGCAATGCCCCCGCCCTCGCTGGACCATGTTTAAGCACAGAAGCTTGTCTCCCTTATAAACCCTATATAGGGCTTATAAACCTTCGGGGCTTATTAACCCTTGTAACCCCTAAATTTGAACCTTAAACCCCGAAAGACAAACCTCTGACTGTGAGTTGTTACCCGAGAGCCCTTGTCCTCCAAGCTTCTCTCATTCCGAGCCGCGATCGAAGTAGCGCCGGCGATCCTTAAGCCGTAGTCCATGGTTTAGGGTTTATAGGGTTTATGGGGTTTATAGGGTTTATAGGGTTTATAGGGTTTATAGGGTTTATAGGGTTTATACGGTTTATAGGGTTTATAGGGTTTAGGATCATGGTGAAGGAGGATGCGGCGCAGCTCTGAAACCGAATCGCGCTCTTTTCGCACGAGCGCGTTGATGCCCGGGCCAGAATGGCTTAGGTGACCTGAGACCTGTGCATTACCCTGAACCCTAAACCACTCTTGGCCAAGCTGCTGTCAACGTCTCCTCCAGCTTCTCCATGAGGTAGCTGATGATGGCTTCGTGGGTGCGAAGCCTTAACTACTCAGCTACTCCAATGCTGGCTCCAAGTCATGCCCAGGGGACCAAAAGCCTCAAAAAGGGGACCCTCCTTCGACCAGCCTCTGACAAGACCCATTTAACTACGGGGCGCCTTTGAGCATTCAGGGTCCGGGTCCTTGCCGGCAAGGCGAACTCTCTCTTAATCCTTGCTACGGAAAACCGGTCATCCGCGGCACTCCCCATCCTCACCGCCTTTGCTTGCAGCCGGGGGTGAGGGCGACGAAGTTGACAGCCCACCCTCGGCATTGCAAGCCGATTTCAGCCAACGTCATGCTGCTGTCTAAACCCCAAAACTGGGAAGTTCCCCCTTATGCTAACAGTCCTTAATGGGGATTAAAAAAAAAGCCAATATAGCCCCTATATTGAGGCCTGTTAGTACAAGGGGGCACATCCCCAACCCCGAAATCACACTGGCCGCTGCGCAACAAATATCCTCTCGATCCATTTGGAAACCAGTCGACACCTCCCACCTAGCCCTAATCTAGGATTTAGGGGCTTCATCTCTTACGCTCGGGCAAGCCAGGATGGTTTAGAGTTCCCTAAGACTCCAAAAGCTACGAGAAAAATCTTCCTTTCGAAAATAGAGTCTACAGTCACTTCAGTTACTTTTCACTTGACGCATGGCCCCTGAACTTTTCCTGCGCCCCTGACATTTGTTGCATCCCAAACTCTACACCCGGCTCGAATCTTCAGACCTCAGCTGCTGAAATCCTGCAATCCTGGTCACTAGGCATATAAAGGGAACCACGGTGGTCTTCTCGAGTTGACATCTGAAAAGGCAAGCAAAACAGAAGACACGCCGAGGACGGAAAAGTGGAAAGCGCAGGAACTCAGCAATGCAGGGCGAAACGGCTTTGGAAAGATGATTTCTGAGGATCGATATAGCAAAACAAAAGGAACACTAAACCCTAAACCAACAAAAAATCGACCGATGTTCATGCCATGCCACTCCTTCAGCCTAGTTTGTCTTCCTCTTATGAGCGAGCTACCGTTCAAGTACCCAGAGCAGACCCCCGAAACCTTGAAAACTCCAAACGACAACTCTATCTTAGGCCCGTACGCCCGGTGATTTACAGACGGCACCCACCCCCTCCTCCCTTTCTTTACTGCTGCTTCAGCGAGAGTGGAGAGAGCGGATCCGGATACTGATCCCCCATATCATCCCCATTGTCATAAGGTTCTTAAGGGAGGGGGATTCAAGGGGGGTACGTAACCCAAGGTTCCCTAACAATTACTCCCCACTACTCCCTAAGGCTCCCTAAGCTTCCCTAAGGTTCCCTAGGTCCTAGGTACCTACCCCCTGGAACCTCCCCCCCTTAAGAACCCTATAACATCCCGCAAAGAAGTGCCGTCTTGACTGACTCCCAGATCCCAGACCCAAACACATCCGAAGTAGCGCGCATGACTATAATATACAGCACTGGTTCTCCCAGCATTCTCCAACTCCCCCTCAAGCCTCTCCCTAAAACCACGGTTCGCGGAATGCCAAAAACAAAAACATTATACCAAAAAAAAACATGAGACCCAAACCTATAACCGTAATGCCAGGTAGGGAGAAAAGGATCCGGGCATAACGCCCCCCAGGGTTAGGGTTAGGGTTTTGGGCTCAGCTTGCCCCTAACCCCTCTTCCTTGTACCTGGACTAGCTGAATGCTCCCAACCCTAAACCCCAAACCCCAAACCCTAAGCCCTGACCTTAAAACCTAAACGCCCTAAACCCTAAACCCCAAACCCTAAGACTTAACCCTAAACCCCAAACCCAAACCTCCCCCCCCCCCACCAAAACCCGCCGCCAAAAGTCTCTCCTCGCCTCGGCGTCCGCAGCGGGGGCGCAGCGTTGCAGCTCCGCCCGCCTCAGCGTCGCAGCCTGCAGCGCCGACTCGAGCCTCGGACCCCCGGGTTCTTATGTTAGGGTTTGTTGGGGTTTAGGGTTTAGGGTTTAGGGTTAGGGTGTTTAGGGTTTAGGGTTTAGGGTTTAGGGTTTAGGGTTTAGGGTTTAGGGTTTAGGGTTTAGGGTTTAGGGTTTAGGGTTTAGGGTTTAGGGTTTAGGGTTTAGGGTTTAGGGTTTAGGGTTTAGGGTTTAGGGTTTAGGGTTTAGGGTTTAGGGTTTAGGGTTTAGGGTTTAGGGTTTAGGGTTTAGGGTTTAGGGTTTAGGGTTTAGGGTTTAGGGTTAGGGCCCTATTCTACCCTTTAGCATTCCTGATTCCCTACTAAGAACCAGCCTCAGAAGGTCTTAGGGCCTTTTTTGGGGCGTTTAGTCGCTCACTTTTGGGGGGTTGGGGGGGGGGGGCGGTTTGGGGGTGTTTAGGGCTTTGGGGGGCGGGGGGGGGGGGGGGGGGGGTTAGGGTTTAGGGCAGTTTCTTTTTCTTTTTTTTTGGGGGGGGGCGGGGGGGGGGTTTAGGAGCGCACGGCAGGCAAGGCTTCGGTTGGTAGGTTCACTTCGGTGACACAACGTCAACTATTCATCGACGCTCTCCGTTTACTGATTGCCGGAACGGAGCAGCATTTCTCCCCCCCCCCCCCGAGCAGCTTTCCACTAGGGTACTTACCGAATGCAAACCCTAAATCCTAAACCCTAAACCGAATGCACGAACCCACGCATACCACGTGTCACCCATGTCTTTCCCCCTCGATGCACTACTTGTCGCAGCCAAAGAAATGTACCTTGCTAGGCCGGGTGCTTCACGCAAAAACCCCAAACCCCAAACCCTTATTTTGACTCCAGGCTCAGCCGGATCCGAACTTACTGACAATCTGTGAAACCCTAAACCCTAAACCCTAAACCCTAAACCCTAAACCCTAAACCCTAAACCCTAAACCCGCGAAGTAGCAACACCCAGAATACATCCACCCTACTGGCACACAGGCTTCCATGCCCAAGGCTGGCTTCTGTTCCCTTCTTCGACCTGCTATGCACATGATCCCGGTGTGGTTTAGGGTTTAGGGTTTAGGGTTTAGGGTTTAGGGTTTAGAGTTTAGGGTTTAGGGTTTAGGGTCTAGGGTTTAGGGTTTCGGGTTTAGGGCCCGAGCTTCTCTGAGGCCTTATCTGTTACACCTGCTCGCCACACCCGAAAGCCTTGAAACCCTCCAGCCCGGACGCTTTTGCAGTTGCAGGGCGTTGATGGCTGTCACGGCTGTCACGCGTTTGCAATTCGAAGTGCGCCCAGGCCCTTTCCGTCCCTAAACCCTAAACCCTAAACCCTAAACCCTAAACCCTAAACCCTAAACCCTAAACCCTAAACCCTAAACCCTAAACCCTAAACCTAGAACTCATGTTTCAATATTCTGTGTCGGGGAAGGGAACGGCTCATAAATTCACGAGGCAGCCGATTGAAGAGAGACTCCAGGCCTTGCAGAGCTCCAGCAATGTCATAAGTTCTGTATATACATCACGACCTTGCATGGCGTCTTTTGCGCTTGCTGGCCATTTTTGGGGGGTCCAGGGTTTAGGGTTTAGGGTTTAGGGTTTAGGGTTTACGGTTTAGGGTTTAGGGTTCAGGGTCTAGGGTTTTTTCTCATGCAACGCCTTTCGCGCTAGCCGCTTGCCATGCAACCTCGAGCTGAAGGACTCGCTCCTCACACGCCTCCAGCTTCTCAGCCTCATGTACTTCTCATTGGTTTGTGGTTTAGGGTTTAAGGTTTGGGGTTTAAGGTTAGCTTAGGGAAAATCATACACACATCTGTTGCTTGTTATCTAGGAATGGTCTGGCAACTTATAGCCGTTCGAGGAGGTCACGTTTGTTTGCAGCACACCATCCATAGTGCACACCCTGAACCACACACATGTTGAACTTTGGCAGAATCATCAGACCGGGTGATTCTGGGTGATTCGGAGCACGGGCACATAAACATAATAAGAATGATGATAAAACATGATTCGCGTTGTCATTACTCACCCAGATGATAGCAACTAGCACAAAATAGACAAAATATGAAAGGCACACAGTCAACACGACCCTCACAATATACTCAATCAACACAATTCAACACCACCATTCGCTTATGCCAACTGTCGAGGGTTAAGACTTAGTATTGCCTGGCGGCCAGCCCCGGAATGAACCCATTGGCCACAGACAGAAAGAAGGTGACAAGGCCGGTGATGCCAAGCTGGATCGCTGTCACGACAGGCCCAGCGAAGCTCATGCCCACCCAAGCGAAGTCTTGCATGAAGGTCTGCAGTAACTGTGTCGCTAGCTCTGCAGCAAAGTTTGTGGCACCACCCGCCAGAAGAAGTTCGAACGTGCTGCCGCCCACTTCAAGCAGGCCTCGCAGAAGGCTTTCCATGCCATTGGCCAACATGTCGAAGACGCTGTTGGTCACATCCATGAAGAACTCCACACTGATGGGGCTGAGATACTTCTGTGCGGCCGCCATCATGACGGTGAAGATGTCACTGATGAGTCCACCGACCTCGGGGATCAAGCCGGCAAGCCCAACCACTGCATTTTCGGCAGCGCCAACCGCCGTCTGAAGGACCCCAACCAGCTGCTCGAACAGTGGCCGCATGACATCGTCCCCCACCTTGTAAAGCAGCTGTGCGGCAAGTTTGCCCAAGGCCTTGGAGACAATCCCAGGCATGCTGTTCAGCAGAACTTTGCCCTTCAGCGCGAAGGAACCGGCATGACCGCTCGCGATGAGGGAGTTCACAGCGCCGTCGGTCATGGCCTCACATTGCAGGGCGACCTCGCTGTTGATGATCTGAGCCACTGCCACCAGGGCCTCTCCCAGGTCCAAGGCTAAAGCAGCGGCCTGCAAGCCCGAGCCCATGAGCTCGCCCAATCCCTCTGTCATGTCTGTCACAGTTTGGTCAATGAGATTCAGGCCACTTTGAGCCATTTCGAAGAGTTGCGGTTTCAACGGCTCTCCAAAGCTCTGCAAAGCACAGGACCCAAGCTCCATGCCTGGGAGGACCGTGAGCTGCTCGATCATGTTCCAAGCCTTGTTGAGCAAGGACAACCTCCATGCCCCAGCGGAGATGGTGGTCATATCTTCTATGAGGTAATCCGCGTAGCACTCGATGGCCAACTCCTGACCCCAGCCTGTATTGGCATCCTCGCGCTTCGCGCAGATGGTGTTGCCATCCGTCCAAACACGGAAGCTATCCGGGGCGTCCAGCGAATCCGCATTGATGCGGATGTAGCGATTCCCGGCATCTGGTGGACAGTACAAGCCTGTGGCTGTAACATGAACGCACTTCTCGCTACTGGCTGATTGGCCGATGTACACGGCATGGTGAAGGACCGTGTCCGAGCATGAAATTCGGAGATTCATACCCCAGCCACCTCCTGCATCAGTACGCTGAACACACACCGTGCTACCATCCTCCACCTGGACAATGAAGGTGTCCCCGAAGCTGCCACCCCGCAGGCGCTTCCCAGCATTGGCTGCGTCCGCCTCGCAGACGAGGTTCTTGGCCCGGACTTTCACGCACTTCCGGTTCTCCCCAGAGCTGCCAATGTCCACCGCCATCGCCTGCTCGCCCTTGAGCAGGTTGCTTTGCAAGGCCTCAGCCCAGGTTGCTAGACTGTCCAAGGGATGCTGAATGATCGTCTGGTACATATTCTGGCTCAGCTGGTCCCCAGACAAGGCCAGCCGGAGAATGTCATGGACATCCAGAGGCTTGGGTAGGTCCTCCAAGCATGTTAAGAAGGGGCCGATCTGATCCAGGAGCTGATGAAAAAGCTGCACCAGCTCACCCTGATCCCGCACCCATTCTGCAGCTTCATCCAGGCCAACAACATCCAGGACAGACGAGCTGGCTTCCACGACAACAGTTCCCACGGCCTCCACGGCATCACCGACGACGCCAGCGAACCCAGATATGAGATCTCCAAAAAAGGCTGACTGCACAAGGGACATGCTCAGGTTCGCCGAGCGAAGTGACATAGCGTGCCTTCGCCTGGTTCGGTGGCCCAATCGCACCCATCCCAAGTACAGATGCTCAACGCTGTGGCCGCTATGAAGCCTTGTCAACAAGGAGGTGAGCTCTGCTCCAGCCATGTGTGTCCCGTTCTGGTGCTCCAAGATGAGGACCACAGGGCCCAAGGACTCCATAGTGCCTTCCGTGACGTTCGTGCCGTTCACTGAGAGGCTGAGGGCCCCCTGACTTTGCCACAGTCTCAGGGCACTCCTGCGAATTGCCCTCAAGTTGGGTTCCACAAGTTGGGGTCGGCGGAAGCCCATGGAATCCCTGACATGCAAGCAGATCATCTCGCTGTGTGGCAGGCAGGACTGTGGCGTGAAATGCATGGGTTGGCGGCGAGGAGCTGTGCGAACTACTTGTGCTTGCAGCTGTGGGCTGCCAAATCGGACTTCTTGGACAGATCTCTGAGTCGTGGTGTTGCTCGCCATAGTGGCCGCCGTGGGCGCGGCGACAGCCATGGATGGCCAATTCTGGACGAGCTTCTCAACTCGGAGTTCGCAGGAATTGAACTGCTTTCGAAGACCATCGAAGACACCTGAAGCCACGCTTGTCAAGAAGCCCATGACACCAGTCATGGCCTGTTCCAGTACTTCCATAACTGGCCCTTGCACCAAAAAGCTGAACAACTCATGGTCACCTGTTAAAGTTGCCAGGAGCTCGCGGACTAGTTCAGGGATTGAGAGCACGGCGCTCTCAGAGATGTCTTGGAGCGCTTGCCCCATCAGCCTTACCAGCTTGCCCATGCCATCCACCAGCAACTTGCCAATATCTCTCGTGATGTCAACAGGCAGCGTCACAAACGTCGGCCCCAACATCTCCTATACTCCCCTTAGAACCTTAATAAACATAGTATGTTTAATATCCTCTTGGGTTTGATATAAACCAAAATAACAAATACTTCCTAAGGGGCATATGGTCTCCTCAGCAGCCGTCAAAGCCGCTGTGAAGAACATGCAGATGGGACCACCCACCTCGGGGATGAGCCCGCAAAGCCCCGTGAGGGACTCCAGCCCGGCACGGAGGCCCAGCTGCAGCTGGCTGATGATCCAGCGCATGAGCGGCTGCACGAGGGTGCCGATCAGCAACTCCGAGGCGCTGTGCATGTAGCCCTCCATCACTGAGGCAGCCACCTCGGGTAGGAGGTTCATGAGTAGGCGCAAGCTGGCGCTCAGCCCCACCGCCTCCCCACGGGATAGCTGTCCTGACACCTCCACCACTGTTGCGTCGCATGCCTCCGCAGACTTTCCGATGACTTGCTGGTTCAAGTCGTCCAGCGTAGCGCCGAGACCGAGCACTTCCACCAGGCCCTTCAAAACCGTTCCCAGCGAGAACCCAATTGAATTTGTGAAGCTGAGGATCAGGTCATCGACGACTCGAAAGGCATCCATTACAACTGGCTTGGCCATCTGCACTACGGGGTCAATGATGTGACGCATTCCACAACTCATGAGCTCAAAGCCGGGCATGTTGGCCAGATCATGCAGGTCACCCATGGCATCGTCCATCAGGACAGCCTTCCAGCTGCCATCTGACAGACCCGAGAAGCTTCCCACAAGGCTACTGGCAAAGCATGTCACCGTCAAAGGCATAGTCCATCCCTGTTCCGTGTCTAGTCTTTGAGCACACACAGAACGTGAACCTCCCTGCCCTTGCTGCACTGAAATCTCGAATGCTGCGCTGCTGGGGTCCTGATTATTCTCAGCATTCTTGCGATAGCCTTGGTTGCCGGCATACGTGAGGCAGCTCAAATCTGCGCTGGCTTCTACCATCAGGCACTTCTTGTTCTCAACGCTGCTGCCAATCACCACATTCTGATGCTGGTGCTTGTCCTTGCATTGGATGGCCAGCGGAAAATTCCAGGTGGCAACAGGGCCGTTAGTGCGACGCACACAGACTTCCCTCTCGCCCCTGACGTAGACATGAAAGGTTGCAAAAGCATCATCCGGACTCTCTGGGATTTTCGATGGCATGCGCTTGTTCGGATTGCCAGCGTCTGCATCACAGTGCAATTCACCAGCTAGGGCCCGGGCACACTTCTCATCGCCATTCGTGTCACTCGTCAAGGCACCCAAGTCGACCTCGATGAGGTACTCATTCGACATATATTTGCTCTCCAAACCATCAAGCCATCTTCCGACACTTTGTAGCGGGGGGTCAAGGTACTCTGCCTGCAGAGTGTAGGGAAGACGCGGCACATCAAGTGCTTTTTTCAACATCTCGATGAGGTGGTACTTCGTTGGAAGGGTCTCCAAGCACAAAAGCAACGGCTCAACTGCCTTCGTCATATCCAGAAAGTCCGTCCCCAGCTGAAAGATGTCGAACGAAGAGTTCGATAATGACTTCGTACCGCTCTGCCTCATCTGTGTCATGTGGGGCCTGGCCGGCAGCCTGCGCCAAGACACGGTGAGATTGCCGATGGAGCCCTCAGTCAGCTCACGCCGGCCTGTGCTTGCTGCTTCCGCAGCATTCTCAAAGATCGCCTTGAGTTCCTCCTCTAGCATCCGCACGCCACCCAGCTCATAGCGTGGTACCACGCCTCCAAGTTCCATGTTGGCGCCTGTGAGTGGCACAGGGGTGGCGATGGGCATGCTGTCGGTGAGGACCCAAGGCACCCGGCCCTGGAGCTGGAGCAATCGAAGTGCCTTGTGCCGGAGAGCCTGGGGTAGGTTTGGGGGCCAGCAAAGAAGCAAATCTTGATGGCTTTACTAGGGATTATATAGGGGTTGAAGGGTAATAAGTTAAAAAAAACACAAGTTATGCTTCAAACCTACCCCGGGAGCCTCCAGGTGCTGGGCCCGGAGTGGCTGCAGAAATCCGTAGGCGTCGCGGACCCGGACGCAGAGGCCTGGTCCGGAAAGGCAAGGCCCCCCTGGCACCCCGGGCATGCGTGGCCTCAACGTGAAGTTCACCAGGCGCCTGGGCATCTTCGGCTTGGGGTCGATACCTGGGTGGTGCTTTAAAGCCTTTCGAGAGTTATTTCTGAAGGTTCCTTTAAACGGGAAAGAAGGGGAATTTTTAAATCCCGAAGCACTACCCAGATACCGGTCTGGACAGGGCCTTGAAGCGCCAGGCGAAGCTGGAGCCATGTCGTAGCAGCCTCCGAGCCCTCACCTGGCTGCCCAGCTTCTGCCACACCCCAGAGGCCGATCCACCCCAGCCCAAGAAGCACGAGCTTCATGAGAGGGAAACGCGTGGCACAGGCTCTGCTCAGAAGGGCTTGGAGAGTTCGGCCCTCGCACAGGCTTTGGGTATAGGACCTGGTGACCTGGGTCTGGAAACTACGGGTGGATACTGATAGCTGCTGAGCCAACTTCAGCTTATGCTGAGCTCACTGACCCCCAGAAGGCCCCACTCTAACTTCTCTGCAGGGCAGCTCCGTCACGCGGCGTCGGAGCGGCTCCAAGACATCGGGCAGAGCCGGTGCTGGCTCCACCTTTTGAAGGGGGGGGAGGGTGGAGGCTAGTGATGTGCAGCTAGCTGCATGGCTGGGTTCGTGAAGGATGGGAGGGCGAGTTAGGCTTTGACTTTTCGGGGTCGGGGTTTTCCTGACTGCGCTTGCAGTGGTTGCCCAGTGCCTGAAAAAAAAGTCTTGAGAAATGGGGAGAGCGGCTCAGAGGGGGACCTTTCCTGGCCCCCAATCCCGGCAGAAGACAAAGAAGAAGAAGAAGAAGAAGAAGAAGAAGAAGAAGAATAAGAAGAAGAAGAAGAAGAAGAAAGAAGAAGCAGAGCTCAGCAGAGGTTCCACCCGGCAAAGACCCAAACGACCTGCCTTGGCGAGGGCTTTCCCTAGCAGCGGCTGGTATGTCCAAATCGGGATTTCCGAAGACAGGGATACCCCTTTTTGGCGGTTCCTATTATATGAGGGTTACAGTATGTCTTTGTTTTATTGAGGGTACCCCTATTTTGGGGACCCAAATGGCTCTTTTCTCGACATTCTTCTGTGCTTCAGCGAATTCTCATATAAAACGTTGATTTGGCGCTGCCTTTTCGAGATCTCAGGAAGCCCGGAAAATACTGCAAGAGACCAAACACAAGTCAAATGACGGCTACACTTTCCCCACCTTTCTTTCTAAGCACTGAACCCTGTACTAAACCCTTTTTTTCACCAAACCCTTTCTTTCTAAGCACGGACTTGGGCCTGAGGTTGGACCACAATACGATGCAGAACCTTCTTGAAGCGTCTTCTGGCGCATGCGGCGAAAAAGCGTCGGGTTTGGGGTGCCCTAGGGTCACAAACTCACGCTAACCTCGCAGCCCTAGCATGCCGCGCAACAGTACTATTTGCCAAAAAGAACCCCCCCCCAAAAAAATAAAAATAAAAAATTATATATATATATATGTATATATATATATACACATATATACACATGTATATATATATACATTTTCATATACATATTTAACTATTATTGGTTTTGGCGGTTCTTAATCAGCAAAGAGCAGCCATATCTTGGTTGTCCAGTACCTAGGGGAACTAAAGGTGAACCTTTGGGATTGTAAGGGGATCATGTTTGCCCAAAAAGGTTAAAGGTTACCTACACAAAGCCCTAAACCCTAAACCCTAAACCTTATAAACCCTAAACCTTATAAACCCTAAACCCTAAACCCTATACCCCATTAAAAAGCAGGCATCTGTCCCAACCCCACGGCGCCTCTGCCGGCGGCCGGGATCTCTCAGCGGCCCCCGCATGCGCCGAGGCCAGGCGCAGCTTGAGCTCCTGCCATCCCGACCGCGGCTTAGGGTTTAGGGTTTAGGGTTTAGGGTTTAGGGTTTAGGGTTTAGGGTTTAGGGTGTAGGGTGTAGGGTTTAGGGTGTATACGGTTTAGGGTTCAGGGTTTAGGGAACCCACGTTTTGCAGACTCTGCATGCCAGCGAGACACCCCAATTTGCTCAAGCCCTGAGGCTCTGCAAAGCTGGCAAGCCAAAGTCCCTCTTCACAACTGTTAGTATAAGGGGGAACATCTAGGGGATAGGATTAGGGGGACCCTTTGGGATATAGACCCTCTGAATAAGGTCCCTTGTTAAGAGAGCCAGAAGAGGGTTCAGAAGGGGTTCCCTTTTAAGGGTCCCCCTCATCCTACCTAGGAATCCCAAGGGTACCCCCTTGTATGCCCCCCAACGAAGCTGTATACATCGATCAGCAGAAGGACCCCTAAAAAAGTGGAGCCCTACTAACCCCTGAACCCTTTGTGCTAAAATCTAACACCCTGAACCCCAAACCCTAACCCCCTAAACCTTTTTCAAACTCCTAGCCCTAAACCCTAAACCCCAAACCCTAAACCCCAAACCCCAAACCCGAAACCCCAAACCTTGCGAAACACCTTCGTAACTGCCCCGAAGGCCATCGGCCCGCCCATGCCTCGAAGTCGAAGAGCGCCCGCTCGATGCGCTTTGAGGTTTCCAGGGGGTCCGCTTTGGCCATGGGAGTTTAGGTGTAGGGTTTAGGATTTAGGGTTTAGGGTTTAGGGTTTAGGGTTTAGGGTTTAGGGTTTAGGGTTTAGGGTTTAGGGTTTAGGGTTTAGGGTTTAGGGTTTAGGGTTTAGGGTTTAGGGTTTAGGGTTTAGGGTTTAGGGTTTAGGGTTTAGGGTTTTTAGGGTTTAGGGTTTAGGGGGTTTAGGGTTTAGGGTTAGGGTTTAGGGTTTAGGGTTTTTTAGGGTTGAGGGTTGAGGGTGAGGGTTGAGGGTTGAGGGTTGAGGGTTGAGGGTTGAGGGTTGAGGGTTGAGGGTTGAGGGTTGAGGGTTGAGGGTTGAGGGTTGAGGGTTGAGGGTTGAGGGTTGAGGGTTTAGGCTGTAGGGTTTAGGGGTAAAAGGTTAAGAGTTGAGGGTGTAGAAATTTAGGGGCAAAAGATTAAGGGTCGAGGGTGTAGGGTTTAGGGGTCACCGGCTTAAGGGGTTAAAGGTTAAGGGTTGAGGGTTTTGGGGGGTGAAGGGTTTCTAGTAGGGGTGGTTTAGGCCTCGGGGCTTAGGATGGTTTGGTTTGGCCACTTGCCTGAGCTGTCGGAGGCACTGCAGGGCAGGGCTTCAAGGGTGCTTGCGGGTCTGCTCCTTCTGGGTGCCAGGGGGAAAGTTGGATGATGTCGATGCCTTTGGAGAAGAAATGCTCCCAAACACGGCCTTTTGCTAACAACAGCGAAAGCCTACTTGCAAGTGCACACCGCGTTGTTTGGTTGCGGGCCAGACTGGGTGAGCAAAAAGAGCCAAAAGCCACCAGTCCAGACAGTGTTTAGGGTTGAGGCGTTTAGGAAACCAGGAGTTTTGGGATTGAAGGGGTTCAAGGGTGTCAGGGTTTTGGACATGATGGTTCTGAACGTGCTTCCGAAAGGCCAAACCTTCAGCCCAACAGAAAGAGCAGACTTCGGGCCAGTTCTTGCTGGTGCTTAGTGTAAGGATGTACTGGACCGTGCAAGTGCTAGCTCATCTGCGCAGATTCTCACAGACCTAACACTTACCTTCCAAACCAAACCGAAATTCTACGAGGAATCCGAGAAAATGGCTTACAACATGTGTGATTAGGCTTGGGCTCTTTGGGTAATCAACACTGCTTCACACTGCGCTGAAGCCCTAGCGCAACAAGGCTTCTTTCGCGGAGACCACACCTCCACTGGGTCACTTTGCCCGGTGTTAGGTTTTGACAAATGCTCCGTTCCGCGGATGGAACCATGAAAGAGATCATTCGCGCTGAATCAGCGGATTTGTTCCCACTCGCCAAGAAAATCGCCTGCAGACACCATTTCCTGGCCCCAAGCAGCCGTAAAGGAGCCGTCAAACGTGGTTGCCGTGTCCTCGATTGCTGCGACACCCCGTTCGGCACATACGGATTGGAGCCCTCGTCCTTGTGCTCATGGTCGCGCGCGACGTCCTTCAGGCTGTCAGCGAAGTTCTTCTTGAACAGGCTTTCCTTAAGGATGTACTCCAACGAACACGGCCGAGGAGGGTGACATAGTAGATGTCACCCTCCTGGGCCGTTTTTTTTCGTTTCCTTCTTCCCGCCGACCACAGTCACCAGAACATCGCCTGGAGCGGCATTGAAAAACGCTGTGCCAGGCGAGGTCACCACAATCTCGCCTGGAGCAGCGCTTTCAGCCTGACTGTGGTCGGCGGGAAGCGACTCAGAGGCGGGCTGACTATTCGTACTCCTTCCCTAAACCCTCAACCCTAAACCCTAAACCCTAAACCCTTCTTTCTGCAGCATCGGGCTGATCATATCCAGCGCCTCTTGCTGAGAGAAGACCATGGTGGGGCGTTTTCGTCCTCAAGCCACAGCCGAAAAGTCTCGGGAAAGCCATGGCTTCAAGCCCCAACCCTGACCCCCAAACCCTGAACATCAAGCCCTCCACCCTAAGCGAAAACCCCGAACCCTAAACCCTAAAGCCCAGACCCTCAACCCTACAACCTAAAACCCTTTTCGCATCCAGGCCGCTTCGAACCGGGTAAGAACATGTCTTACTAACGTTGAATCTGGACTACCTTTTTCCCTAAAACCCTAAACCCCAAACCCAAAAACCAACCCAAACACTTTAAAACCCTAAACCCTCAAACCGCGGAATCGTAAAACTCTAAAACCGCAAACCCTAAGCCCTAAACGCACAGATGGAGTGTGGAACGCAAGGTCGCAGGGCACCAAGACATGCAGCAAGACGCCGCGCAACTCTGAACTTAAACCCTGCTAGGTTGTTTTTTCTTAAAGATGTTAGGGTGTAGGGCTTAGGGTACCCCATTAGGGTTAGGGTTGTAGGCTATCTGGATTTATCAGGTTTATCCAAGAGCCCTAAATCCCCTTCTGGGTGTATTAGGGGTGCCTCAGAAGGGATCACTCAGAGCTATTGTCTTTTTTTGTGTGTGGGTTTGTTGTTCAACGAAAGGCTGGATGTCTTTTTGGATGCGGCCGCTGTCTTCACTCCATAAATGCATGCTGCGCTTGCTTTGCCTGCTGCGCGACATAATCTGGCATCAAGTGCAAATCGGCAGACACGCAATGTCTGGCCTGCAACCCCCTCGGCATGACTACTCATTACCCCTGGGGGTTTAGGGTTTAGGGTTTAGGTTTAGGGTTTAGGGTTTAGGGTTTAGGATCCATATCCAGGGGTGCAAGCCCCTGTTCTTTCCAGCAGCAGCTGCAGGACATTTTCACTTGATGCCGGAAGCTTTTGCACATATCGGGGAGGGTCCTCACTCGGGCAACGGAATGTCACTTGAGCGAGGGGTCCCTGCTCATGCTGTACATTGGCACCGCGCCCACCCGGCTTGGGCAGGCGCAGCGAGTGCATTATCGGTGAGATGGGCCAAGCACGTCACATCGACAGCGCTGTGGGTGCTGCCTAGACCGAGTGTGCATTACAAATTCCAGACGGATGCTCTGAGACCCGGCCAAGAATCCTAGTTCAGTACCGCACCGACTGCTACCGGGAGGCACGATAAAGGCTTGGCCCGCCAGGGCCGTGCCCCAGCATAAGCAGCCAGGGTGACCTCGAAGAACGTGCACGTCCACAGACACCCTTAAAACCAGCTGGTTGCTGCGCAGCACTAAACGTTTGATTTTTGTGAATCTGCCAGCTTCCTGGTGCGCACATGAGTCTTAGCAGTGAGGTGAGCCATGAACCACGTGGAAACGCTTGATGACAAGCGACCTTGTCAGCTGCGAAGGCAGATCCGGACTGCAAGCCTAGACACCCCCCTCTATCGAAACCTCGTACCAGCCTGCCACCTCATTGTCACGTCCGGCTGTTTCCACATCTGCGATTTTCCATGAAACCCTCCCTTATTAATACGAAATGAATCATAGAAGCGCTGAACTTGACTGCAAAGGCTTACGTAGGTTTTAGGGATCGGCAGAATGTCCGCAAGGTTGTGGCAATACCCTGTAGATCCCAAACTTACCAGCACTCCGAATGCAGGGTGCCTTCTAGTCCAGTGTCCCTGGGGGGACATACTCTCCTGGGGTAGTTACATTGCATGGCTCCTTTATGTGGGCTCTTACTTGGGGAATCCTTATATACCCCTTATATACCCTATATGCATATATATATATAACCTTTACAACCCAAGGGTCCAAACTTCAGAAGCCTTGAAAGAGCGTAAGGGGCCATGTTCAGGCGCCGTGAAACTACCGATGCTCCCCCCAAAGACGGGCATCCTATTTGACTACAAGGCTGGTGAAACCAAACCCCGATGAAGCTTGGTGGCGTCCGTCCACAGCGGCTGAGAGGCCCTGGCACAAAGACTTGGCTCTACGGCCAGAGAGTCAGTGTAATGAATAAACCGTAAATCATAATAATTTAGGGTGCTTTTCTATGGTTTCAAGGCGCATGCTGTGGGCTCTCTGTGTAGCAGGGATGCCTCTCACACTGAGGGTGTGTGTGTGTGTGTGTGTGTGTCAAAGCTGCTTACCTGCATGTAGTGACGAGAATGCCTCCGCCCAAGTCGATTAGCAGCCCGGTCTCAACCCTAAGACCCTGAACCCCACAAGGTCCTCGAAGTTCGCAGGTCAACCTTCTAGCCGCTCTAGCCCTCAGCCCAAAACGCCTCGCTCTGCATCACAGCTGGCGTCGGGCACCACGCATATCCCAACCTTGTGGGCTGCACACAAGGCTGCGCCCGCAAAGGCGTGTCGTTCAGTCTGTTTTGACTTGGGGTTGCAGGACCCAGACGTGGCAGTCAACATCTGCACGACGCAATCATCGCAATAGACTGGCTTCGCTTGGCTCAAGCTTCGGGGGGCTCGTTTACCTCCCTAAACCCTAAACCCTAAACCCTAAACCCTAAACCCTAAACCCTAAACCCTAAACCCTGAACCCTGAACCCTGAACCCTCAACCCTAACCCTAAACCTGCAGTTGGATGTTCCAGGCTCTTCATCTTTGTGCAGTTTCGACCAGAAACTTTACTAGACCCAAGGGCAACCTAGGAGCAGAAAAGAGTACCCTTTTTGGCTTAAAGGGGCTTATACTTACCGGAACCTAAACCAAAAAAAAAGGGGGAATCAGGGCCCTACTCTGGGTCCGAGTTTACAAGTGCTGGGTACACAGCTTGAGTGCAAATGCGTCAAGCTGCCACTTTGAAGCCTGCAATGGAAGGTCGCCATCTCCACTCGCCCAGCTCCCTGCATCAGGCAGTCCGTGGGGGAGTCCGTACTTCAAGGAACAAACCCTAAACCCTAAACCCTAAACCCCGTGTGCTTACAGAAAGCGCGTCTCTGAAGAAACTTGCTCACATCTTGCGTGGCAGCATCATCTTAGCAGGAAGCCCTAAAACCCACTCAGGCTCCGGCCCATGGAACTTAATTTAGGGTACAGGATTTACTTGGAGGTTCATGGGACATAGTAGGCTTATTGTTGAGCTTGGCATCCTACATGTCCATCCACTGAACTAGCCATGCATGGGCTTCCCCAAGTGTAGCTTGGAACAGAACCTGCGACACAAGCACT